GGTGTGTGTGTGTGTGTGTGTGTGTGTGTGTGTGTGTGTGTGTAAAACTTGTTTTTGATATCCTTCATTTTCTGTGTGTGGGTCAGTTCACAGCAGTGATAGAAATTAATCTGTTCCGATAAATTTAAATTGATTTTTACATTTTATGGGCATATTGGAACCCAAACAGCAAGAATCACAGTACCATCCTTTCACATAAATTGTTCCAGGAAAGACTGTTATTCTCCAGTCTTATCTCCAGATAATGATTATGATAGGCCTAACTATGATACCTTTCACTCACTGGCTCTTTCACCCATATTGGTTATCCATGTCTGCCAAAGACAGTTGTGGCAAGGAAATTTTTGCGGGGTATTCTGCATTTCGAGGGGTCTCCATGTAGATGGTGGAGCTGGTGAGACTCTTACGGTTTTTCTTTGATGCTGAGCGCCGCTGCCAGCGGCATAGGAGGAGCTCCACCTGCTCTCTGAAGAAGCTGGTGGTCAGGGTATAGAGGATGGGGTTAAGGGCGCTGTTGATAGGAAGAATGAAGATCACCACCCAGGAGTTTATTGTTCCTGCACAGATAAACATAGAGCAAATGTCAACAAAAAAGAATTGGCAAATTCTGTGACACACGTGGCCACAGGTAGCGGGGTCATTTTCAAGAAAAAGTGCCATTTGTGCACAAAAGAAGAAAAAGTATAATCTACATTTTTTTTATTTAATTTGAAAAGGTTACTGTTAAGCTTTTATTTAAATTGTATTTATTTTTTATTATTTCTAAAACATAAAATACCAGGACCGAAACCATGTCTTAAATATGTGCCTACAAAATACCAACAATTATTTGTCCTTACTAAATGTATCATTTAAAACTTTTATTGGAATATGTAACTGAAATTAGTTTTTGTGTGCCTTATTATTAACATATTTCTCTTTCACAATACGTTTTGCGCGAACTGCCTTGCATTCAAAATGCTATGGGGCTGAAGATCCGTGCAAATATGCCCAGATAAATAATTCCAGCCTTAGCTAGCCATACATTATTTACTGTCAGTATTCATGAACAATATTTTCTGTAAAAACGTGACGTTTTTCACCATAACAGATAAGTCAAAATAAGTGTAAACTTAATGAAATACTAATAAAACTGTGAGCAAAATGCCTGTTTTAACCATGTTGTTAAAAAAAAAAAAACATGCCACCTTTAAATAAATCGGGGGATGAAGGAATTCAGGTGACATACCTGGAATCTCAACTTTTAGCAGAGAGAGCGTTTTGACCAAAAATATGGGTATCCAGCAGAGAGCGTCAGAGAACACAATAAAGAAAAAGCGGTTGGCCACGGCCACATCTTTGTGTAGCCGACTGCGTACATCTGTGGTATTGATGCCGGTTTTATAAATGGAACAGAACATGCTGGAATAGGAAACGACAATCACCAAGAACGCCACCAGATTAAGACCTGTGAATACACAATACACAAATATTTCAGGATTTGCACATAAGAACAGACATAGGAAAGTAATAAGCTTGGATGGTGTATACTACCAGTTTACTTAGTATACACTATCCAAAGGAGTGATCGGATATTGCAGTATATGTTATGTTATGTTATGTTATGTTATGTTATGTTATGTTATGTTATGGGTCTAAAGTTTCTAAAGTCTCTTGTACTCACCAAGGCAGCATTTTTTTTAAATTAAAAATACAGAAAGAACAGTAATATTGTGAAATGTTATTACAATTATTACAGTTTTTCTATTTGAAAAAATAAATGTGATGGCAAAGCTTAATTACTCCAATCTTCAGTGTCAAATGAAAGTACCAGTGTCTTTCAGTAATCATTCTAATATACTGACTTGGTACTCAATAATTATCAATTATTATTGGTGCTCAATTAATAACAATGGTTCTTATAATTAATGTTAAAAACAGTTAATATTTTTGTGGAAACTGATATATTTTTTTCAGTATTCTTGATGAACAAAGAACAGCATTTCTTTTTGAAATCGTTTGTAACATTAAAAAATGTTTTTACTGTCACTTTTTAACAATTGAATGCATCCTTGAGGAATAAAAGAATTAATTTCTTATAAAAAAAAGAAAAAAAAATCTTATTTGCCCCAGACTTTTGAATTATCACGGTTTCCACAAAATAAAACAAATAAAATAAAAATAATAAATTAAGCAGCATGACTGTTTTCAACATTGATAATGTTTCTTGAGTGCCAAATCAGCATTTTAAAATGATTTCTGAAGAATCATGTGACACTAGAGATTGCGGTAATAGCAGCTGAAAATACATCTTGCCATCAAAGTAATTAATTACATTTTTAAACATTCAAATTGAAAACAGTTCTTTTAAATTGTAATTGTAATAGTTCACAATATTATTTTGATAAAACAACTGCAGGCTTGGTGAGCATAACTAATTCAAAAACATTAAAAAGCTTAAATATTTTACAATTTTGACTGGTAGTGTATATTATATTAATAGAAGAATCAAAACTACTAAATACATGAAAACACTTCAATATATTAGTAAACATCAAATCAGTGAAAAGACTCGAACCAAGAAATATCCCTGTGGAGTATCCTTTGGCTGTTGGTTTCTCCAGCCTATCAGAGTGCAGTGGAAAACATACTCCATTTCGCCCATAATAGTTCCCAAACAGGTCTTCATTTAGCAAGGGAACAACTGCTATGACAAATCCCAGAATCCAGATGAAGGCCAGAACCAACACTGTCTGCAGCTTCCCGGGCCGCAGATGGCTAAACGGGAAAACGATGACTAGGAATTTCTCTAGTGTCAAGTAGGTGAGGAGAAGAACAGATACTTCAGAGGAGAGCATGGCGAGGAAGCCAATCGTTCGGCATTCCACGCTATCCATCCAGATAAGAGCATTCCGGTTATATTCGCCCCGGAATTTCACATCAAATATCCCCAGGAACAAAAGATAGACTCCCATCAGACAGTCAGCAACTGGAAAACATTAAAGCAAAAGAATCAAAATAATGACAACATTCCTCAAGCATATAATACAGTGCTTAGCATAAATGAAAAAAAAAAAAAATAGGCTTCTACAAATAAATATACCATGAAATCTTTTTAAATATGTGCCAGCCAGAGGAAGATGAGCACCAACTGAGACTTGGTTTGTTTCTCATCCAACTTAACCACGAAAGTCAATGTCTCTACTGAAATTTTTGGGTTTTGTTTTCATTTTTCGGGTTTATTTCTGGTATCATGTCACGACATGTTGGTTTTTGTTATACAATCTAGTCACAGAATTGATTTAAAACAACGGTGCCTAGCCCCTGCTGCAGCGATTACTGTAATGGATGTTAATCTTAACAGTGCAAAAAAAAAATCTTCCTCATTACTAATATAAAAACAAAGACATAGTGTGACCAGAAGTGGCATGAAGTTGCTTGCCAGTTTATTTTTGGCCTCTCTTTCCTGTGGAGGTGTGAAATATTTCACAGCTGCTCATTTGCTGGTTCTCCCACAAGTCAGACAATAAATTGAGGAAAACTGCAGCCGTCACAAAAGCTTATGAGAAAAGGGAACGTGTTTAATGTGAATAATGTATAAACGTATCCTTGTTCCTTATAATTTGAAGGAATGCATCATGAATCAGAGCCAGGCAATGGTACCGCCATCTGTGGTAATAGGTGATTTTTTAATCTGACAGCATGGCAAAGGTGAGTAGAGTGACACTATTAAAGCCAGCGAACAGGTGAGGATAAAGGCCAAGCTCCTGTTCCCGCACTGATAAAGCTGAGATTAACAGAACCAGCACAGACAGAGATTTAAAAGAGATTTGACCTTGATTTAAAAAAGTAAAATGATTAATTATTAGCATTATACAAATTATACACACACATATAATTTATCTTTTTTTTAGCAAAAGATGGTTTGTCTAAAGAAGAGACAAGCTTGAAATCACAATTGCAAATACATTCTGTAAAATAATGTTGCCTTTCCCTATTAGATTTTGGGTGGTAAAACTACAGTACTGAAAAAAATAACCCATCAAGCGGCTATCCGTGTTCTCGTCCTGATGACTACACCTGTCATAGATTTACTTAAGTATTAGTAGATGTGTTTATTTTTCGGTACATCAGGAAGTGATCGGACTGTGGAAGTCTGTAACTTTACCCTTTAAATAAGTTCAAAATTGCACATAACATTCAAACAAGCAAGCTTATGAAGACAAATGAACGGTCACTTTCTAAATAAGATTATAGAAGAATGCAAAAAATGCTCAGGAAAGAACAATCAAACACACACACACAGACACAAAAGCAAACCAAATCATAACAGGCTTCACTGTTACCCATGGGTTTTTACACTAATACGCCCCTTCATGAAGGCTGCATAACTGGGCATAGTTTCTTTCCAAGAAAATCCTCCCTCGCTCTCTCTCTCTCGTTCTCATAAAATGTCTAGCCAAACGTGTCTGTGGACTTTTATGAGACTGTTACAGACAGATGATAGTGTGAGTGTGTGTATTTTGTGTAGGTTGCAACAAGTAACGGATAATAATAATAATAATAATAACAACAACAACAACAGCTAATATAGCTACATAATATAATGTATATTTTAGACAGCTAAATATAGTTATAACTAAATAATATTTTATAAATTTTTATTTTTATTATTAATATAATAAGAAGAATAACAATTACAATAGGGTTTCAGCACTACGCGCTTGAACCCCTAATAATAATTATAATTTGTAATAAATATATGAAGTGTTCTGTATAAAGACCAGACTAGTCAACAATGAAGTCAATTGTTTATTATTATTAATACAATTAAATTTTATTTGCACAGGGCTTTTCACAATACATTTTGTTTTAGAGTAGCTTCACAAAAAGTGTATGTTTTCAATGGTACAATCAGGAAGTAATCAATTTGTCAGTGTAATATCTGTATGGCAGTAGCATATACCTATGAGATAAGGTTATATGGCTAGTTAGCATAATGTATTTAGTTAAGTACACATAATATGTTAGATGATGATTACAGATTGTGATCATAATGATACAATATAAGAATAGTATTTGGCAGTTTTGTATGTCAGTCCAGGGTTGGCATCATCTGAAGTCGCTGTATTATTATTATTATTATTTATTTTTTTATTAAAACCATTTTTGCACAATGTATTTATTAATCAAATATTAATAATAGTTTCAGCTGTACTCACAACACAAGACTTTGATGCAGGCTGCATGCAGGTTGTTCTCTGCTCTAATGAAGGAGCGCATTCCGATAACAAAGAGATTCCCAAAGCAGGTGATGAAGGCCATAACCCAGACGGACACCCGCAGAACCAGGCTGGCTAGCAGGTCTTCCACTGATGAAATGCCATCCGTATTAGGTTTACATTTCCGAACATGTGGGGCATAGGAACAGTACTGAAAATCCTTAAAATATCTAGAAAAGACAGATATGCACACATAACAGATTACAAGCTGAGCATCCTGCTTATGCAGATTAATACACAGACCACACAATGAGAGGTACGTACATGTGGGACAGGTTTCCCATCGAAAGAAACATCTTGGTGGTTATATCAGGAATTTCAATGCCCTCCAGACTTCTGTTAAATACAAATGGGTGTTGTATTTCATGTGACACCTACTAATAGGGTTTTAAAAGGCATTCTTTTGAAAGGCAGAACATGCGCTTTTGATACTTACAGAGACTCAAGTTGGACCAGGTGATCGAAGTGACTGGCATGAATATGGAGTGAAGGATTATGGGATATATTCCTGCAAATATTAAATGGAGTATGTCAGCAAAAAATGGTAATTCTGATTATTTACTGATCACATTCCAAATCTGTTTTTCTTTAAACAGATTTTTTTAAAGAACCACTTTGTAGCTCTTGCTATCCATTGACAGTTGATGGTTACCAGGAGCTGTCAAGTTCCAAAAAGGACATGAAACACTCAAAAAGTTATCATATGGCTTCGACAGCTCTAAATACAGCTAAACTACTTTTATTGCTTTTTTTTTAGTCATTTGTCATTTTTGGGGGTTGACAGCTTCCAAATGAAGAGTTGTTTGTTCCATGGAAGAACTAACAGCACACAGGCTTGGAAGGACATGAGGGTGAGTGAATGACAGAATTTTTTCCATCTTGGGTGAAATATCCCTTAAAAGAACATTATTTCATAGTATTGTGGTGGTGTTTATTGCATTGTGTGCATTGATCAGTTCAACACTTTTGAACTACGTGACTGATATGTGCATGACTCACAGTTTCTGCAGATATTGTAAACTCCTGAAAGTGTTTTTAGGAAGATTGGAAATTCTGTTGCAAGACAAATCTCTAAAAAAAAAACAAGAAGGAGAAACAAATACATCTGTTAAATAAGCATAATCCATGTGCATATAAAGCCATCTCAATTATGTCTGTGCAGAAAGTTTAAACAAAGTTATTACTCTCAAATCACAAGATTTCACATCCTTTCCAGATTATGTGCTGCGGTACTCACAGTTCAACCAAAGATCCAAGAGAATGAAACGTGTTTTCTAGAAGGATCTTGATTTTATTGTCATGCAGTGATCTGGACATAAAAATTGAGAGAACAAACTTAATGTTACTTTCCAATGAGACTAAACCACCACATTTTCACTTGTGTGGAAAGCCTCAAAGAACAGCCACTGGGCTGTGAAACAGCCAGACGATAACGAAATCGTACTGCTTTCTGCTGCATTTTCCAGCTTATTCTTCCAGCAAGGGCAAGCTGACCTTATTTGCAGGGATACCTATCTCTCTCTGAAAGTCTCATTTAAGATATGTCTGACATTTCCAAAAGAGAATGGCACATATTAATAATGCACTATGAGAGTATTAACACTGATAAAATATTTGTTATTTAAGCATCAACATTCACAAACCACTGTTATTTTTAATAGCAAGCATGAGCTTCTGCGTGCATGGTTTGGAATGGCAGAATTCGAGCAAAGAGCGCTCCCTTTATAATCACTAAAAAGCTGACATCTCAGTTCATCGCGATCTCACAAAGCTGTAACACTATGAATATATGCACAATGAATCTTTCATAATGTCTACACTTTGTGTGTTATAATGAGGGGATTCGTGAGCATGCCAATTTCAGCACTGCGCAAGAACTCCATTTGAGCGGTGAGTGGATTCTAACTTAAACGCCTCTGATTGGCCATTGCGATCCAGAAATCAATAGATATGTCTGTGATTTGTTACATTGCTCAATGCTGCAAACACGTGTTATAAATAGAAACTCTGCCTATGCTTGCGCCTGTTAATCATTTTTATGTCATTTTATCTTGTTGCTTTTGTGCAATAGATGAAAAACTATTTATTTGTTTTTAGATATTTTATGTTTAGATATTTCTATTTTGCGGGAGTCCCGCGAATCATTTTATTCTTCACAAAAATGCTCAATCTTGACCCAGTCCAAAAACACAAATGTCAACACATTTGAGCAAAGCTTGCTCTCGATCTGTGGTAGAATTGAGAAGATGTGAGTTTGCTCTGATATACAGCAAAATGCCAGTCATTTACATGGTTAAAAACAATTAAAACGTTTTTTTTTAATCAAATAATTGTGTTTTTATTTAACATTTTTAGTTACGTTGTTAATCTGACAATGTCATTTTAATAAAAATTGTGTAATAAAATAAAATGATATGTAATTTTAAAAAAGTGCAAAATAGAAACATTTTTACTAGTGGTCTCAGACTTTTATACCCAACAGTATATGACATATAATTATTTGAAACACCTAACATCAAAAGACTTTGTGATATACACAACCATGGTGGCATGTCCTATATTTTAAAGTTACAGTAAAATTAAGAAGATTTCAACACATGCTGGACTTCATTTTCCACAAGGGCATCAAACTTTGTTCACTTGTAAGAAACACGTGCAGACAGACACTCACATCCTGATGACTAACCAAGAACAAGTATTTCCTTTTAGAGATAATAAACTGAGGATTTAAAAAAAAAACATGTCTGAGATCCAAAACCGACATCGTACACTAAAAACAACATCTGTACCACATTCAATTAAACTGACCATTAAATCAAACTCGCTGCCACGTTGCCATAAATTGTGATGCTGGCATCAACATGTGCAGCCATCATATAAAAAAACACAATGAAACCAACTAATCAGACTTTACAGTGGATTGTGGCTGAGGGTAAATGCACGTAAAAACACTTACAGCACTGTGAGCTCGGTGCATGTCTTCAGAGTGGAATAATTCAGCAACCCAACGTGGTTCTCAGCGAAGTCCCTGTGAAGAAAGACAAGCCAAGGAAAAGCAAAGAAAGAAGAAGAGCTGTATATTTAAAAAAAACAATTATAAATCCTGACTTAGAGGACATGAGAGGAAGACAACATTTGCACTGATGACTGGGAAAACTCATCCCATTGCTCCTCCTGCAACAACAACAAAAAATCTAATCAAGAGCCATTATTCATGCTTGACATGAATAATCAGAGTGCCTCATGAAGCCCCATGCTGAAATTTTTCATTCAGCAAGCACTTCGTCGAGAGGATGTGCCTGACTTTGATAGTACCTCTGATAGTCTTTCTCTTCAAAGTGTCAGGTTGGACTAGCAGATGGCAAATTGTCATTCAGCGGCGAGAGTATCGCAGCACGAGTGAGCTGCTTGCATATGTAACGTTAAAAATCACAGTGATCCTGCTGATGGCCACTGTCAGTCTCTATCTGCTCTGACTATAATTACCAAAGTGCATTGTTCACAGAAAAGCTGAAAATGAGTCCTAGGTGCTCATCATGAAGGGAGAGACGCTTGAAAACAAACACACATCTGGCAAAGATACGGACGCTTTGAGAGGAGTTTTCATTGTTAACTCAAAATGTGTGACACAGTCAATGGAGTTGTAGTCAGACCTTTGAATAATCAGCTCAAGCAGCTTAATCTGGCCTATAAACGCCCACTTAGACAGAAAGAGAGTATCTGACAGATACGCTACAAAAGAAATCTTCATTAACTGTAAACCGTTCTACTCGCCACGGGAGTTTGGGACAGAGTCTTGTACAATCAGGCCAGGAACACACTGAATAAGGAGATTAGAGTGACTAAAAGGGCCTACGCTAAAAAGTTGGAAGATCAGTTCCCTTCCAATGACTCAGCTTCAGTGTGGAAAGGTCTGAAAGCCATCACAAACTACAAGACACCATCCCCCAACACTGAGGCGAATCAACAACCTGCTGAAGACCTGAATTCATTTTATTGTAAATTCAAAACCTCCCACACCCATTCTGACCATCTCTCTACACAACCGTTAACACCTCCTGCAATCCCCCTCTCCCCCCCCTCCTGCACTTCAGATCAGAGGATGATGTGCACCAGGTCTTCAGGAAGAACAAAAAAAGAAAGGCACCAGGCCCAGACGGTGTGACACCAGCCTGTCTGAAAACCTGTGCTGACCAGCTGGCCCCCAT